TCATCTCCCATCCCCTTCGTATCAAAATGTCGGTTCCGAAAAACTTTGGCAAATTATATAAGTTGGTAATAGAGAAACAATCAGTGAGGTATAAAGGCAATACAAATCGATTCCATTCTTAAGCAATTAAATAAGCGTACGCAGGATTTTTTCAAGGGGGGGGGGGGGGTTAAAATCGGGCCCAAAAGCAACGACTCAGCTTTATTATTTTGCTCCCGAAAATTTGAAAATCGACTCAGCCAGCCGAAAAGTCGCTCAGTGGGGGGGGGGGGGGGGGGGGGGGGGGGGGGGTGGTAAGTAAGAGGCACTTTTTTTTGGGGGGGGGGTCTCGAAATTTGGAAATTTTATATTTTTTTCGTTGGGGGGGGGGGTAAGGTCACCTTTTTTTAGGTTAGCCATGGGCATAATTTTTTTTTTTTTTTAATAATTAAAAAAAAAAATCAAAAGGGGGGGGGGGATTTAGGAGGGTTTTAGGGGGGTTTATACACAATAAAAAATACCAAAGGGGGGGGGGGGCGGGGTTCAACCCCCCCCCCCCCCCCCCCCCCCGTGTACGCGCCTGGGTATGGCACGTGAAACGCCAATATAATTTTAAAAATGCTGCAGTTACGTTGTAGGTGTTTAAAGTGAATGGCGACAAAGGATCTACGTGTTTTTGTATGTTTTAGACTGCGCGTATTCAGTGAGCTCTGTTTATAATATACAGAAATGTAAAGCAAATTGAACTTTATGTCAACATAAAAACTCTGCGGTTTCGACTGTTTTGCAGCATCAAATCTGGACTTAGTAACATTGTTCAGGTGAGAGAAAATGGTGCTAAGGTATTATCTTAAATTCTAGATGTACACTTAGTTATAGTTTGAAGGAAAACAGACCATCATTATGATAGAAATTGGGAAAAGCTGATCTATTTGATTCCTTCATTCTCCAAACTATATTATTATAATTTGATTGAATTTTAGGTGAATGCATTTCAGTTTTGACATATTTCTAAAAGCCTATTTTACATTTTATTTTCATGGAAAAAACGGATGAGAAAATTCAAAATTGGTAGGGAGATTTACTGTTAGAGGATGTCGCACAGTGACGCCTTCAAAGAAAACCACAGAAATATCTTTGTGGTTTGAGAATTATTTAGGATTTTTTGCATGTTAGAAGGTTAGTACATAAGAAGGAATATAGTAAAAAAAAAAAAAAAACAATTATTGCACTCTAAAGAAGTAAAAGAGGAAGTTGTAGAAAATGCATGTACATCAAAAAATATAACCTTCAACAATGTTACCGGTTAAGTTTAAAGGGCAATCCAACCCTTGTAAAAAGTTCATTGAAATGGAAGCAGATAATAAAATACACAGAAAGGCGAAAGTTTGAGGTAAATGAGGCTTATAACAAATAAGGGAGTTATAATTGTTTGAAATATGAGATCACTAAAAATCGAAGCAAATCTCAAAATTGGCAAATTGGTCAGTAGATTATGAAGTAGTCATAGGACAGCTCTCCCTTTTGTTACTAAATTATAATGTATTATCTTTCTATTTTTAGTCTTGCCCCCCCCCCCCGCAAAGAGAGAGAAGAGAGAGAGAGAGAGAGAGAGAAGGAAGGGAAAGGGAAAGGGATTCGAGGAGAGAAATGGAAAGAAAGAAGAGAAAGAAGAAAAGAAAGGGGGGAAGAAGATCGGGGGGGGGGCAAAGGGCCTTGCCCCCAGGCTGTTGCCTCCCACATCAAAAAAATGAGAGAGAAGGAAGAAAAGGGGAAGAAAAAAGGAAAAGAAGAGATAAAGGAAAGGAAAAAAGAGGAAGAAGATTAGAAAAGAAGGGGGATATCAGCTGCAATTTTTCCCGCCAACAAGTTGTCTATCGGGGGGGGGGGGGGGAGGGGAGGCCCTTGCTCACCGCCCTGCCAAAACAAAAGAGAGAAGGAAGGGAGAGGGAAAGAGGAGAGCTAAAAGGGGACAAAAAAGAGGAAGAAGAAAAGAAAAGGGTCAAATAAAGGGGAGATCAGTTCCGATTGATCCCTCCAACAACATTTGGATTCGGGGGGGGGGGGGGGGCAAAAGGCCCTTGCCTCCCCCCAGTAAACCTAATAGAGAGAGAAAGGAAGGGAAGGGAAAGGGAAAGAGGAGAGAAAGAGAAAGAAAAAGAAAGAGAAAGAAGAAAGTAGGGGAGATAAGTTGCGATTTTCCCCCGCAAACAAAGTTTAGATCGGGCATTTCCCCCCTTGAATAAAATTCGATACCGGTGATTTGCAAATGTTGCTGAAATGGCGTGATTTTCCAAGATTTTTTCTCACCTTTTAGAAAAGTTTACTTTTTTATGCGTAAGTTGGAAAATGAAAAATTCCTAAATTTACAGTCAGGCAAAAATATGCTCAGGGACCGCGGAACGGCGGTGCTCGGGGCCTCGAGCTCTCCCCGAGTTTATTCTAAAAGAAATATATTAAAGAGACATAGAAAGAAAGAGAGAAAGAATAGGTACTCGTCAGTGTCACAAAATAATGAGGTATCAAAATATGCTCATCTGACCGTGACTAAATGCCTAAGACCCCTAAGCTTCAGGGGGCTCCGCTCCTGAACCCACGCCAATTAGTGTCCTGCCAGTGTCACAAATAAGGTATCCAAAAAATGCTCATCTGACCTTAAATAAACGCCTCAAACCCCCGAGCTTCCGGGAGCTCTACCCCTAGACCAAACCAGTGGCCCTAAGACGGGGCCCCTTGATACTCATCTGACCGTAATTTAATGCCTAAAACCCTTGGGCTTCCGGGGGCTCCGCCCCCTGGACCCCACGCCAATTAATGACCTGCCAGTGTCACACATAAGGTATCAAAATATGCTCATCTGACCGTAATTAAACGCCTGAAACCCCTGAGCTTCTGGAGCTCTGCACCCTAAATCCAACCAATGGTCCTAACGCGGGCCCGTAGATGCTTATCTGGTCGTAATTTATTACCTTAAAGCCCTGAGCTTCTAGGGGCTCCGCCCCCTTGGCCCCACGCCAATTAGTGACCTGCCAGGGTTGCAAATAAGGTATCAACATATGCTCATCTGACCGTAATTATATGCCTAAAACCCCTGAGCTTCCGGGGTCTCTGCCCCCTGGATCCAACCTAGGCCATAAGGTGAGCCCCTAGATGCTTATCTGACCGTTATAAAATGCTTCAAATTCCTGAGATTCAGGAGGCTCAGCCGCCTGGACCCTACGCCCATTAGTGACCTGCCAGTGTCATGAATAAGGTATCAAATTATGCTCATCTGACCGTAATTAAATTCCTATACTCCCTGATCTTTCGGGGGCTCCGCCCTTCGACCCCGCTGGGGCTAAGAAATCTTGGATCCGCGCCTGCCTTGGGGAACTACTCCAAATATATGTGATTAGCACATTACAACAGGTCGTCTACAGAGAAAAGACACTCTTAAATCATACATTTTGAAGAAAAAAATAGTTTAATCATTTTGTGTGTTGAAATAAATGGGAAAGTAGTCCTTCACCCCGTCACTGTGACATTACCGATTCAGCGAATGTGAAGTTCCCATACGTTTAGTGATTACAACTTTCGAAAATCAATAATATATTTATTTTCTGTCAGATTAGTTATAGTTATTAGATATAGTTGTGAGTTAAGGTTGGATTTACCTTTAAAGGGTAAAAAGGGTTAGCCGTGCTTATATAATGTGATTAGGCGGTTCTAGGACAATTACCCCCTGGGCAATCACCCCCCGGAAAATTACCCCCCGGAAAACTACCCCCCAAGGACAATTACCCCCCGGAGAATTACCCCCCGAGGACAATAACCCCCTAAGGACAATTACCCCCCGGAAAATTACCCCCCGGAGAATTACCCCCCGAGGACAATTACCCCCAAGGACAATTACCCCCGGAAATTACCCCCCCGGAAAACTACCCCCGAGGACAACTACCCCCGAGGACAATTACCCCCGAGGACAATTACCCCCCGAGGACAATTACCCCCCGAGGACAATTACCCCCCAAGGACAATTACCCCCCGGAAAACTACCCCCCGAGGACAACTACCCCCGAGGACAATTACCCCCGAGGACAATTACCCCCCAAGGACAATTACCCCCGGAAAACAACCCCCCGAGGACAATTACCCCCGGAAAACTACCCCCTGAGGAATTACCCCCCGAGGACAATTACCCGCCCCCATGGATAACTACACCTGAGGACAACTACCCCCCCCCCCCCCGAAGACAATCAGGATTCAATAGCAAAAGACGATTTGACACATTGAGAGATGTTGTGAAGGCTACGAGCCCATAAAATCCCGTGCATGAACCCACATTCGTTCAAATACTTGCGCGTGATGTTCCTCTCATTACTACACATTTTCTTTAACTATAATGTATGCAACACCACTGTGGTTGCTGTTTTCTACGAAGGATTTCTCTTGAGCAGCGTTATTTCAAATTTTTGTTAGACACAGTGCCCTCTTAAGAAATGAAAAGTTTCGCCCAATCTTAAATTCTTCACAAACTATTTATTTTGCATCACTCTGGCATTCGTCAAGAGCTATGTACACACGTATGGGCACATTTGTTTCTTGATTTAGTGAACGAGCAAGAAAAAAAAGGACAAGACATACTTATTTTCTTTTAATATGGCACCGTACATACCATATATTTAACTTGAAGGCAATTTTTATTTCAAAATAAATTACAGTACAAGAAAACATATTTGAGTTCACCATGACAACAGAAATATATATATATATATATATATATAAATATATATATTACATTACATTTATAAACATGAAGAGAACCTTTAGTTTGGAATAGATCGTGGATGAGGGCCTATTATGCATACAAAGACAAATATACTATCAGCTGATTAGAAAAGTTACAGAGGATGCATAAATAATGAAATCTTACATCCTAATTTCTTTGTTGGGCCAATTTGGGGGAGACTAGCTGTAACGCGTACTCATCTGCGCGCAATGTATTGTTAAATTTCTAAGAAATGTAAATTCCGTACTTTGATTTGATACATGCGTCTTCTGGCAATTGAATTCGATTTGATACATGCGTCTTCTGGCAATTGAATTTGATCAATACTCGTGGCATATTAAGTCAAACTTCACAAAGATGGAATGGATACAGAGCGAGAGGGGTGGGCGAAAGCTCCTCCTGGGAGGATACATGTACGTCAAGCAAAAAGATTTGGCAGATGGGTACGAGGGCTTTGAATGTGAGCTACGAAGGAACACACGACAATGCAGAGCAAAAATTAAGGTAAGCATCAAACGTACCAACATATTGTGGAGTGAATGACTTGTACCAACCGTTTATTACAATACATAAGTCCCAGAGCCTATTGGTTCTACGCCACAGCCCATTGTCTAATATATTACCAATATGAAAATGATTAAGGTTGAACAGAGCCTAACAATTCATATAATAATTTCAATTTTTTTAAATGGACACTAGCATAGCATAAATTTAAGTTAAAACTTTAGACGCACGGCTTCCTAGGACCAGTGATCTCTTTGGTCAATATAATTAATGGACAGTCGGCTCAAAAGGGTTGTTCCCCTAAACAGCTCCTTATAAATTCTTAACTGCAAACTTTTAAACGAATTCACCGAGACACAACTGTGTCCGTTTTTCTTACGTAACGTTTCCATAAAAATCAGAGGTCGCCATTGAGTCATAATTGACTCAACACACCTTAACCCTAATAAGGCCGGGGGGGGGGGGGGGCAGAGGGGGCACGTCCCCCCCCCGGCCGCTCAAAAATATGTTAAAATCAGCCCTAAATTCGCCAAAATGTACTGAAAAACAGGGACATGCCCCACGGGCCCCAAAATTCAATAATTGTTTGTAATAAAAAAAATATAAATTAAAAAAAAAAATATATATATATATATATATATATACAAATGCCTGACCTAAAAAGTTGACTCCAACGAAACAAAATGTCAAATTTACAATTTTCGTGACCAAAAAAAAAAAGTGTCCGCTTACCAAACCCCCCCCCCCGCTTTTTCTGCGATTTTTATGGGACCAAAAAAAAAGTGGGGTCCGCTTACCATCCCCCCCCCCGCTTATTCAGCAATTTTTATGGGACCCCAAAAAAAGTTATCTCCGCTTACCCCCCCCCCCCCTCCCCCCGTTTATTCAGCGGCTGGCTGAGTCGTTGCGTTTTGGGGGACTAAAACAAAAATATTTATATGTTCTCTTACCCCCACCCCCCGTGTGCCCCCCATATACGCACCCGGGAAGAAATTCCTGGATCCGCCCCTGGGCATTATGCCCCCCCCCCTCCACGATTTTCTAATTGTTCGGGAACGCATATGGATGGCGCCCCGACGCTCGCTGACCTTTTTCTTTCGAGTCTTGCGCATCTTTAAAAGAATGTTTTTGAAAATCGGATGCTTAAATATGAATAATATATGATTTATGGGTAAAATGTGATTTATGACCTTATTTGCATAAATTACCATAAATATGCAAATAAGTGAATTTTTCAAAAAATTGAAATTATCATAGTATTGTATAATACACTTCACTTGACATGCGTGCAAATTTTCGCGGAGATCGGCCGTTTCACGGCAGCGATCTTAAGGGGGCATAATCACCCCCCCCCCCCCCCGGCCGTATTAAGAACTCAAAAAGTGATTCGGTAACATTGTTGAAGGTTGATTAAAAAACGGTGTAATTTTTGTATGAAATCTTACTTATTATATTCCTTTTACTGTACTTACAGGCAAAAAATCCTGAGAAAATTCTTAAACCACAAATAAATGCACGGTTTTCTTTGAAGCGGACACTGAGTAACACCCTTTAACAGTGATTAACAGTAAATTCTCCCAACCATTTTTGAATTTTCCAAACCGTTTTTCCATGAAAATAAGACATAAGACAGGCTTTTTAAAATCTTTCAACACTAAAATGTCTGGAATGTTATGAAGAGCCAGTTTGTTGCAATCGTCACAAGACGATGTACTTTCACCTGAAATGTAATTAAATTGTGATAATATAGTTGGGAGAATTAAGGAATCGATCAGTGAGATCAGTTTTTCCCAATGGTTATCATTAATAATGGTCCGTTTTCACTCAAACTTTCAGATTATCTTTAATTGTACATCTAGCAATGAAGTCACTGCCTTAGCACCATTTTCTCTCATATAAACAATGTTACCAAGTCCCTTTAAAGACCGAAAAATAAATGATTCGCAAGATCAATGTCATTGCTGTAGCTAAGGACAGCCAAATTGATGATTTTCCGCACTATATGCAAACATCACACTCGGAGAGGACCTCCTTGCAGTGGTATTTTCAGAGGAGGGGAGGGGGTGGGCTGGCATTGCCTACCATAAGCACAAGGTAAAGGGGATAAAATAAGAATCACAGTTTAAACTTCATGAAATTAGTGTCGTTGCTTCAGTTCATAGAGGAACCGTAAGCTTATTAATGATCTACTGAGATCGTAATCAATTACTTAACGGTTATAGCTGAGCACAAGATTAAACAAATAACCACATTAAAATATTACTTAAAATTTGGAGACCGGCCTAAAACGCAAACATTTTCCGTAATATGCGTTGCCACCCCACTTTTCAGTGACGATGTTTCCATCATTTCATGGTTGACTGAGCACAAACAGAGGAAAAAAATTATTAAGTCATAAAGGTATTTCTTTACTTCTTGTTGTTGAAAGAAACTAAAGACGGCAAGCTAGTCAGTTACTTTCCCCCACATCGTATTTATTAGGTTATGCTTGAGTGAGCACAAATTAAAGATAGAATACAAAAAATGCAATGTCATATTAAACAATAAAGGACATCAATTTGTTTATGAATAGCGACCCCGATTTCGTATTATGAATAGCGGTCCTTAAGAGTAATGACCCCTAGATTTGAATTATGAATAGCGACCCTTATCTCACTTTATGAATAGCGGTCCTCAAGAATAACAGTCCTCACGCTTTTGTGAATAGTGGCCCTCTTTCCGTTTTATGAATAGCGGTTCTTCACGTATCGGAAGTTCCACGTAATAAATCGCGGTCCTTATGACTAGTGAGGTTACACTCCGAGCCAGCATGTTTATTAAGGGAAAAACATACAATCACACAAACACACAAACAAGAGAGGAATAGCCACATTTCAAAGGTGATGTAAATGAGTACCTGGTAGGAATTAATTCGTTGAAATGCTAGAGCGCCGCAGTGGCCGCCTTGCTAAAGCAAGGGTAATAATCGGGGCAGCGCCAGGAGCGTCACAACGTGACAGACATGTCCGCTATATAAGAAGCCACCATTATTAATATTATTATGAAGTAATGGATGGAGGTCAACGACCTTCTGAAAAACATTGTTCTACAATAAAGGAAGCAATGACATACATTTTAGGAATAAACATGGTTATTTTGTCTTTAATTTGTGCACAGTCAAACATGACATATAGGTCCAATATGATAAAAGTAACTGACAAGATATACCAAGTTTAATTTCTGTCAATATTAAATGAAATAGAGATATTAAGATTTGTTTTTGTTGTTAATGTTATTTTTTGTTCATTTTCGCTGACCTGAAGTTAGAATTGTGATTATTTTGTTCTTTAACTTGTGATCAGTCATCCATGAACTAACTGATGTTAAGCAGGGTAACAGGAGGTCATCGATGGGTGTGCATGGTGTTCGCATTCAGAGCTGACAAATCATCAATTTGACAGTCTCACTACAATTAAGCAAAGGCATTAATGTAGCTAATTTTCCAAATTTTGTCTTTAAAGATAGTATCACACATTTGCAAGCCCTCAAAATCTCGATGAGATTTTTTCTGCAGATGGCTTGTGATATGCAATACAATTTTTGAACAATACTCTGAAAGATTTAGAGCTCAACCCCTTCCAGTTATGAAGTAGGAAACAAAAATGTAATCAATTATTTTCTTTTATTTTCCTCATTTTCTATTACGGCGTCTACCAGACGCTTTAAGAAGGAAAATATTAAAATTGTCATTAATAATATTTTCAGTAATAATAATGACATTACATTATCGATAACATTGTGGCGTATCCGCACTCCTCTCCAATTTGCTCAGAAAATGTAATCAACTTAATTCTCTTCGTTGTTGATGACGGAATAGATTTCTTCCATACAAGGATTGGATAGGAAAACACATTTGAAATAGTATATTTAGGGTGCATGTATAACTGAAAATTTTGTCTAAGGAAAATAAAGATTTCTGATTTTTAGTACAGAGTAGAAGGGAGGGGAGTTTGCAACTTAAACAAAATAAAATCTTATCTTTAATCGGAATTCATTTAAACTTTCACCGACCCATTCCTCTCATTTACCTGCTTGATTAAGTATGACTGGCTACTTCTGGTTTCCACACAAATATTTCTGTAAAAGCACAGATACAATCCTGTTAAAGGTACTATTCCCATTTGCAGGCCAAAAAATGAAAAGGTTAAATTCCAACGGCATTTGAAAGATAATACTAATTTAGAACTCTCCTAAAAAACGGGGGTTTGAAAATGTCTTTAAGTGGGAAAATAACAAATATTAGTTGTCGAATCGACTTAAGAGCTATAGAGCCAGTAAGTAACAGTCTGATTTTCAGACCATTGTACCGAATGGTCGTACGTTTTAAGCTGCGCAGTGATTCAATCAGTTTAATTTGGCCATTACAAGAAGTGGGTTATTGATGTAGGCAAATGCTTATGTACCCTTTACAGCTCATTTTATATATGTTATTACCAAAGAAGAAAAAAGGCCAGTCAGTCACTCAATAGTGTCTGACGGTGAAGTCTAGCAAGTAAACGGGTTTCCTTGCATAATTTGAATATTAGGACACTGCTAACGTTTATATTTCACAGGTTTTTTTGACGAGAGGGCGCTTCAAGTGTTACGACGCTTGTATTTGACTTCTCTTAAAATTTGGTCTAAAATCGTGAAATATCTCGAACATCAGCTGTGATTGCTAAACAGAAATTGACAGAAGTTTTTCACCTATATTGTGAGATATTGTGAGATATACCCTTTGGATTAAAAGGACAACCGTCCTGGAAATTCCTGCAATTTATGTGAGTAAAAAAATTCTACATTGAACTATGTATGCAGAGAAAACGGCGCCACGCCCCGACGCGTTCCTACCAACGGGGCCTAAACCTGTTTTTCTCCGTGAGAATGATGTGCAAGATACCGATAAGAAAGCGCTTACTGGTGAGGAACTGTACATTGCCCTTGCCAAAGGCGGGAAAAGGGACAAGATTGCCGGAATTCAG